TGGCCCGGGAAATTTTATCTCAGGCTTCATTTCATGCTTCTACATCTGCATATCTCCATTTACTTATCTGGCGATAGTTTATCCCACTTTCCACCTTTTTATTGGTTATACAGATTAATAAGTTTCATTTTGGCAGATTCATAAATGCACAGAGCATACTTTGATCTCTCCCCTCCCCTCCCCCTGCCCTCCCTCGGCTTCTCATTGTGGGGAGGCTTTCAATGCAGATAATGTATTTTTCTCATGTCCACCCCCCGACCCCAGTATCTGAAAGACAAGTTGCAACAAAACAAAGGCACTAATTAGTGAATTAATAAAATTTAGTTGGAATACACAGAAAATAATGTCCTCGTTAAGAAAGGCCCGTTGTCGGGCCTCTGGGGTAAAGGACACCAAAGGCCAGGCCAGGAGGGACTGTTTTTCCTCTGGACACTTCCCTCCACCCACTGGGGACCCGGATGCCACCACACACTTCTTAGAAGCATTGCTTCATCCTCCCAAAAGTCATGGCAGTGCAGGCCGAGAGCCATCTTTATGAGGTGAGCTGTCAGAGACACAATTACACTGTTGAGTGTGAGGCATAGCCATACGGTTTGAGTTTAAGGAAACTCAGCATTTCCTCATGAAAAGAGAGCTCTAGGAAGAGTGGGTTCACTCTTTGAGAGGAGCCTCGAGTGATGGGCTGGGAATTTATCACAGCGGTGTAAGCGTGTAAGTGCCTGCCTGGCAAGCGTGAGGTCATGAGTCTGATCCCCAGTATCAAAAAAAGAAAGGGAGGCGTGTGCAGTCTGGCCACAGGGAAAGGGAAGAAGCCCCCTTCTACCAGGGAGCGCCCCCACAGCCCCCTCACTGTCTGCCCTCCACAGGGGCCCCATTCCTGCCTCTGCCTCCCTTCTCTCCATCCTCCTCCTCCCAGCTGCCTGCAGAGGTGTGAAGCAGCTGCCAGCTAGACTCTGCTCAGTAAAACCAAACCCAGAACCCCAAAATGCAGAACTCAGGGAGTTAACGCAGCATGGCACACATTTTAACCTTCCCCGGCCCTCCCTAGTAGCCACCCAAACCCTCAGCTAAGGAGGGAACAAAAGACCCAACAGAAAAATGCTGACCTTTGCAAGATTACAACTCAGTGGACTCATAGTGAAAATCAACATGTGTCTTATTTAGCAATTAAGTCCGCTCAAAGGGATATTAAGTCATCCAAGCACCCCTATCGCACCTGGATCCAGGCCTCTTTTTTTATTATCCTGGCACAGCGTTCATGCTATAAAACAATCAGCAGCCCCCTTTCTAGAAGGATTCACTGTTACCCTGCTTAATTAGCCCGCCTGGACCTCGGCCCGTACACTGAGAATCAAAGAGCAAGCAGGAGGCGATCGGAGGCTTCTCAGTCTCTTCTCTCACCGTGGAACTGTCGTGAGGGAACCACAGTGAAGACAGCTGTCATAAAATAAAGGACTTTAAAACTAAAGGTTCGTTTATTTGTTCTGCGAAGGGTTTAGGCCACATCAAGCACCTGTTAGTTTCCAATTTCTCATTAGAGATCCTGCCTTTGACAGTACAGTGGAAGCCACTGCTGATCCCTGTGGGTCTCAAAGTGGAGAGAAGAGGAGCTGAATGGAAGTCTTTACCTCACTGGACACAAAGGTCGTCTTTAATACACCGAGGCTGGAAACCCCCTTTTGCTCACATAGATTTCTGACGAGGGTATCTACCTGGTTCTCCCACAGCGTGAGAGAATCAGGCCACTCACCAAGGTTCACCAGATAACAGGAACATATCTGAATCGGATCCCAGCACTTAAACTCTGGCTGTTTTTCTCTTGCATGAGTTCTACAGAAATCCAAATGGCAATTTCACGGTATCTTCGTGGCTGCCTTGGTAGCTCGGTGGCAGAGCGTGGGCTCAGCATGCACAGAGCCCAGGGTTCAACCCAGCACCTCCCTCTCCCTCAAAATTATCCCCCCACCCATAATGTTTTGCATAAACTGCCAGATTGGGATTATTGCATGTGCTCAAACCTGCAGGATCTGCAAAGTCTCTTCTGAGAGAGTCTGCTGTGCCTTAAGAAGAAAAATACTTCTGACTGTCAAAGGGACAAGGTGAGAGGCTGCGCCAACTGGCTGTGAATCGCTGGGAAGCATTTTGACTCCGTGGGTCTCAGGGTCTCCATCTACCGCAGGCAAGTGTAACACTAACTGGTGCATGTCTAACGCTGCTTCAGTGTTTTAAGCCCAAACTCGGAAAAATAAATAAACTCTTATCTTCTGCAAGATCACTGGAAAATATTCCCTCAGTGAAAGCTTTTTCAGCAAGAGAAAAACAGATGATTTTTTTGTTTTTTAACCAAAAACCAAATGCATGACCTTGCGCTTGCCAGGCAGCTGCCATGCTGCTGAGCTATATCCCTGGCCAAGGTGGACAATCTTTCTAGCTAGGACACTCTTACAGTGTTACAACCAGCCACTCTGCAGACACCTCCAGTAGCCTTATTTTGGCGCACTATATTTTTAGGAGCAAGTGGAAGGAAATGTACCTATGAACGAGACAGATCCATATTTTATTATATTTAATGCATATGTATAATCTACCTAACCAAAGAGAAGTGGTTGAAAACTAATCCCAGAGCACTGAGAATACTTTAATTCCCCGGGAAGGGTTTGGATCACACGAGTTCACCCTACATTATATTTAGACCAGGAAGGTCTGTAATCAGGCTAACCTGAAATGACAGAGGCTTGGAATTCTTTGGTGGTTTTGTTTTTGGTTCTCACATAGTAAATTCCCTCAGGGTTGACCTGAGTCTACTTCTGCGGAGCGCCCTCATGTGGCAAAAAGGCGCAATTGCAAAATCGTTTTGTCCTGAGTTTGAGAATGGTAGCTGCCACCTACCGAGAGCAATTATCAGATGTCAGAAGCTGTCTTGGATTTTTTTTCATGCTAATAAGATAATGTCATAAAGCGAACTGTGGGTCGGATTCCGGTGTCCTCAAAGGCCCTGCGTTAGAGTTTTGGTCCTCAGAAGAGCTCCGCTGGGAGGTGGCAGAATCAGAGGAGGCTGTCTGGGTCACCGGGAGGATGCCCTTGAAGGTGTCTGCCTTTCCTCTCCCTTCCTGCTCTTTCCTTCTGTCTGCTTCCCAGCCAGGAGGTGGCAAGCACGTGGTCCCCAGTGCTCTCATAGGACCTGCCGCCTCCCCCTAACCCCAAGCAACAGGGCCAGCCTGTTGTGGATTAAAACCTCTAAAACTGTCAATCAAAATAAATCTTTTGTCTTTATAACTTGATTTACCTCAGATGTCTGTGACGGTGTCAGAAGGCTGACAAATGCATTGACTATGTTTTCCCCCCCAGCATCTCTGAACTCAGGGGCAGCAGTAACCACAACACATTATATTTCTTTCTATTTTTCCACCTTTCTGTACTGCACTCCTTTGGAATTCTGAGCTGTGTCTGAGAAGCTCTGTAAGTTATAGTTTGTTTTCCCCTCAAAGCCCCAGTTTCAGATTGGCAAAAGGAAGAGGAAGTAAAAAAGGAAAACCACACCAAAAAGCATGGTGAGAAAGGAGAAACTATAGCTCAGGATCTTTTAATTCAAACAAACTTACGTATAAGTGATTGACATTTCACAATCACGTACTTATGTAATTATAATTATGTAAGTACATAATTGTAAGTACAATTTGTATTGTTTAGTAATCTACCCTAAAGAAGCTCCAATCTTTCCAGTTATCTGTCTGTGTCACAGAAGGATAAAACCACCACTCAGCTCTCAAACGGGATTGCTAAACAACGCCAGTGCCAGCCACAGCCCGGTTGCAAAGCTTGCTGGCTGCCCAGTTCGATTTTCACGTAGAAACACAGATTTTGTACACTGAGATCCTGTAGCTTTCAAAAGGAAATTAGAATATCAAAGTTTTCAGCAGGCACACTCTAATTTTTACATTTTGGAAATTTTAAATACAAAACATAAAATCAAGCAATGTGTGAAACACTGGCCAAACAAAGCTGATTTTGAGCTCAGATTGTCTCTGTCTGCAGCTTCTTCCGTTGGGACTTTTGAGGGCTGAGGTGCAAGCTGCCCCCAGGACTTGTCTTCCTAAGGACAGTGGTGAAGGAATTGTGGAGGAGGAAAGCTTCTCACTTCTTCTGATTGCTTTGTGTCATTGCAGATCTCTCGTCAAGACACATGGCATCGTTCCTGCTCATTAGTTTCTCTTATTTGACCTGTGCTGTTACGTGACTATTTCTGTTACATGGATATTCCTGGAACATGAGAGTGCACAGTGTCCACATCAAAACACTTCTTCACTCTCTCACAAGCCACTCGGGTTTATATCTTTTTCTTTGTGGTCATTAAAACCCGGTCTTTGAGAAAACCCATACCGGTTTTCTGGGTTAGGCTGTGCTATCTATAATGGAAATTGCAAAATCTTCTTTCTGGAAAACCAAGATGTTCACCCGTGAAGATAGTACATACATTTTACTTGGAGTCAACCTTTCAATACATTTTCAGTCACATAAGGAGAGGGCTTTTTTATTAAGCATCTGCTATTTTATATCGTTCCTAATTTACAAAGGAAGAGAAAGCATGTCTAAGTTTTCCTTTAGGGGTGGCTATGCTCAGCATATATGTGGATTCAGACTTTAAACCTTTGCTATCCTGTGTAAGTACAAGCACAAGCAAACAGATGCCTTTAGTAAGTTCATGAGCCCAAAAGAGTCTCAGCTACAAAGCTGTCCCACATAGATTCAGAGCAAGAGAAAGCCACACAGACTTGCACCGTCCAAAGAAAAACACACAGGGAAAGCTCTATACTTCATAGCAGGGGTGGCTAAGAAGGTTTTTCAGCCGGAAAAAGCTTTCTAAAGCTCTGCTAGGAAACTGGGTTACGGTCCCTGGCAGGCAGAAGGGAAGTGAGCAGGCGGCATTCAGAATCCTCAGGTCAGCAGGCAGAAAAGAGATCTACTATTATGGACGCACCATACGGACACACGCACGCATATACATGTAGGTATATATTTAATATATGCATATAGTAGGACTTTACACATCACAGTTTTAGCAGCTTGACGGTTTTTACTGGTATTATGGAAGTCTTGCTTCTCTTGAAGTTGTTTCCTTAAAAGATAAACGGAACAAGGGCTTTCCGAGATTTAGGGTAGTCCTCGAACATCTTGAGGTAGAACCTGAAGACAGGAAACACACGGTGAAAATATAAATGAGCGGCGATCATCAGTTGAGGTTTGCAGGGTCTGAAATACTTTTTACAAGTCAACCTGCAGTTACTCAGGGCCTGGCTATTCCAGTGGCCACTCGCCTAAGCACTTTCCCTTCCTCCAGCCTCTGTCTTTTAAATGTTGATTCTTTTTGCATTGGGAAATAAAAAGCCATAGCCAGAAGGTAGTGGTAAGGGTTGCACCATATTAAGAACATACCCGTTGCCACTGAATTTCATATTAGAAGTTGTTAAAATGATAAATCTCACATGATGTATATTTTAGCAGAATTTTCTAATGCAGTAGCCAGAAGGAAGTGCTCATTTGGATTCCGCTGAGAAATACACAGAAGAGACTCCCAACAGTTGTGAGCAAAGTTAATCTCAGAGAATCCCTGGAAAATATCCCTTCATGAAGCCTAGAAACAGCTCTGTATTTGGGTTCAGTTTTGTCCCCCCCCAAAAGACAGACTGAAGTCCTAATTCCCAGTACCAAACAAAATGACCTTATTTTGGGAATAACATCACTGCGGCTACAATGAATTAAAATAAAATCATACTGGAGCAAGACGGACCCTTAATCCAGTATGAATGGTGCACTTAAAGGAAGAGTAACAGAGACACAGGAGAGACGGCCAGAGAGGAGGTCAGAGTGAGGCGGCTGTGTGCTAGGGAATCCCGAGGTTGGCCGGTCTCCACCCAAAGTGGGGAAGGGAGGAGGAGGGCCCTTCCAGCTGTCACAGTGATCGGAGCCCTGCCTCACTTTCTCGCCTCCAGAATCATCAGAAAATAGCTTCCTGAGGTTTTGAGCCACTCACTTGGTGGTCATTTCTCACAGCAGCCCTGGGAGACAGTGGACCTTCGGGGGAAGCCTTCTCTGGAGGTTGCCAGGTCGTGCGCTGCACTAGTTGAAGCTGGTTGTGCCTCAGACAATACACTCTGCTAAAGCACCTCATTTAAGTTGGAGGAAAGACGGTCACACCATGTGCACTTGGTGGTGGGTTTTTGCGTTTTGATTGGAGAGGACAGTGCGTGCGGCCTCTGCTGTGAACGCCTGACCTCATTCCCTGAGCACCTGCACAAGGCTGTGTTAGGCCTATAAAAGAGACATCCTCCGGCCCTCCTTCTTGCAGAGTATCATAACCGATGATCTCCATCTGGATTTTGGTTTTGCACCAGCTGAAAACATTTGGAGGGATCGCTCTCCCTTCCCAGACCGAACATGTTGGCCTGTGCTCTTCGGGGCCCCTCAGTGACACCCTGTTCTCCCCTATCCCCCAGACCGTGATGGGGAGAGCCGCTCTGTGACTCTGCTGCAGGTGAGGAATCCCCTGTCCTTCATTCCTGCTGAGGGCAGAGTGAGCGTGGCTGGGGAACGGGTGCTTCATTCATCTCTGAATTGGGCTGTAAATTCCACTGAGAAGAAGTTCTCTGTTTAGCCTTCAAAACTATAAAATGAGCCATACGCCAGGCCGAGGCACCAAGGCAAGAGATTGAGGGGCTCCACCGGGTTCTAGACCCAAGTCTGCTTCCCTACGGGCATCTACATTCTCCCTCTCAGTCTCCAGGAAGTGAGGGCTTTCTCCCCCACCCCCCAAAGGAAGAAAATTTTGGACAGAGACCTCAAGTTCATATACAGGTTTAAATACTGATAATAATTTAATACCTTACCCTTTTCCTTCGGGTGATATTCAGTTAGCTTTCTTTTCCCCCAGTACCAGGGACTGAACTCACAACCTCACACTTGCCAAGCAAGTGCTTATGCTGCTGAGCTAAATCCCCAGCCCCAGTTAGCTCTTTTATCCCCACCCCTGATCAGTGCCTTAACCTTGAGAGGGTTCTACATGCCTGCAATCCCAGACTATACCAGCAGATGGGGCTTCGCTAAAACAGTTGCCCACTCCAACTGCTTACCCTACCTAGCTTCCCAGGTGCCCAGCAAAGACCTTGGCTGGAGTCAGGGAGAGTGGCAGCAGGGGGAGGAGGGAGGTGTCAGAACAAGCCCTGGTAGTGCCCAAGTCCTTGCATAAATAATCCTACAGCAGGTTACTGGGCTCTGTGATTACCCGAACTGTTAGCACCAAACTTCATATTAAATGACAACACCCTCCCCATCCCACCCCAAAAAGCAGCCACAGGCCCCTGGCTTATGCTTTTTCCCAGTGGTTCTGCATCCTGTTTGTAGCTCAGAATTATCCGTGACATTCTGAGACGTGCCAGCCAGGGACTTAGCTGTGGAACTGTGGAACGTACTTCAAGAAATGTGATGGGAGAGATCTGAATCAAAATATGGAAATGGAATTTGCTTCTTCTGCCTCTTAACTAGTTATCTATGGCTTAGTGCCAAGAAGCAATCACCACTGACACAGAGCCTGGGTCAGCTTACTTCCGTGACACAAGGCATCCCTCGCTGTGAGGCCTTAAACAGGCTTCTCAATGGCCACTTCAGGTGCCCCTGTCTGCCTGGGCTTATTTTTTCTCTTAAAAAAAAAATGTACTGTTACTATCATCTAGCTAAATTCCAACTTCGGTAAAATCCTTAAAATGTCAGAATTTAACAATCCAGAGTACCGTATCATATTTCCCTTATAAAAATAAGTAACTCTGGTCTCTCAGTCTGACTCCATGTGCTAAAAGACTTTTTGGAGGAAAGAAAAACAAAAAGCTAATGGATGCTCTGACCTCTACTGAGAAATTGACTAGGTGCAGGTGGTGCGTGCCTGTAATCCCTGCACTAGAGAGGCTGAAGCAGAAAGACAGCAAATTCAAGTCTCATCTGGGCAACTTAGTGAGACTCTGTCTCGAAATCAAAATAAAAAGTACAACAGAAACAGCTGGAGAAGTAGCTTAGTGGTAAAGTGGCTCTAGACGCAATCCCAAGAAGGAAGGAGGGAGGGACAGGGACGGAAGGAAGGGAAAAGAAAGCTTGCCTTACCTGTGGTGGTGAACAGCTCGGCTCCCGAGGAAACAAAGCGTGAAAAATGCAAAAGCAAACCCTGGAATAGACCAAGTGGCCAAGGCATAACCAATCCATTCAGTGATCTCGCCGAGGAAATTCGCTCCAGAAACGTATGTGAACAAGCCACCTGAGTGCAGAGGAACCAGAGAATCAACCCTCAGAGTCACAGTGGTGGTAGATCCCTGTGTTCCAAAATACAGACAGCTAGGACAACCCGGGGCTGGAGACTTTCCCACAGTGATCGGAGTTTAGTGGAGTTTTTTTCAGAAAACAGAAAAAGAGCAACTGGTGCCCAGAACATTTGGAATCCTGAGCACTGGCCACACCTGTCTGACGGTGCCCGACCATGAACTCTGGACAGGACAACGAAAAGAAGCAGAAGATCTGCTTTTGTTTTGTGTTTCTCACTTTCCCAGACACTTGCACTGATGGTCAGCATGTTGGACACTCCTGCTCACACAAAGGGAAACCACACGCTACATCAAAATAGCGAAACTCTGAATCAATGTGGGAAGTGATTAGAGTCTCTTCTGGCGTTTGTTCCCACCCCAGCTCCCCGCCCCTGCACCTCTGCTAAGCCCTAGACTCTGGTCCCTTTTAACTCAAGGACTATTTGTCCCTCCAGAGGCTGGTGAGGCCTGCGTTTGTTGATTTCTGTAGAAAGTGTCTCGTTTTCTGCCCAAAAAGTTATTTCTTCTCTCTCAACTGTATCTAGAAATTGGCACATTTCTAATGCTGTTAAATTTACCTATCCTCAAATTTCATGACTCATATTAAACTGGGAAATCTTAACCAAAACAATTTTCTCTTCCTAGACTTACATTAAAAATACTTTTACTTTTACATTAGTTTCTATCAGAATTCAAAATCTTGGCAATATGATCTTTAAGAACCTTTTCTGTTCCTTTGTCCAGTGACTGTGTGAAGGCCTTATAAAATATCAAGTTTCCTTAAAATTATTTTGCTTTAGGGTGACATTGTATCAGTGGTTCCCTACCTGCAATTCCCTAGACCTAGAGAGGAGCCACTGATTTATTGTAAATTATCTAGAAATACACTTTCTCTGCCTGCAGTATTATTTTTAAGGTGAATTCTCTCAGGGTATGAACAATAATCAGATTACTTCAATGTATTGCTGAATTCATAGTGGTACTGTCATTATTTTCTTAATCAATGGATATTGATCTCACAAACATCATGTCATAATTCAGGAATTTCATTTTTGCTGTAAATAAAGTGTTTTACATCGAGAAGGGTAGGAGCCACTAAGCCCCCTACATATATTACAGAATTCCTCAAACTGATTCCTCGCCACCTGCCTATTTGTTAAACTCACACGGGAGTTTCTTGGGAAGTTAGGATTTCAAGAATTTTCTATCTTTATCTCTAAAAAATGTCCACTGATGTGCTGCATAATGACATTTTGGTTGATAGCAGATGGTGTCAGTGATGGTGGTTGCATTATGTTATGATGGACCTCAAAATTTGCTGTCACCTAGGACATCACAGCACAGTACATCACGTGTGTGTTTGTGGTGACGCTGATGTAAACAAACCTTTGCTGCCAGGCATGTCAAAGTACAGCGCATACATTATGGGCATGACAGACTACTTGACAGTGTTAACAAATGACTATCACAGTTTATATATTTACTGTGCTATGCTGTGATTTGATATTTTAAGTGCATACTTACTTATTTTTATTTTTTATTTTTAAAAAAGCAAAACAGAAAAAAGAAATGATACAGAATTTCGAAAACAATAACAGTAAGAAATCAACTCTAATATATTACATGCTGTTATCTTAGAAGTAGTTGTTCAAGTCACAAAATCAAAACATAAAAATGAACAATTAAACAATGACAGCACAATCTATTCTTTTTGATGAACTAACAGAATTAGCAGTATGGTTATCTATCTTGCACACTTAAACATACACACAGTTACGTGTGTACATCTACAAGTTGTTCCTTCCTTTAGAGCTCTTTCTTTCCCTTTCATAATTACAATATCTATTGTACATTTTAGATCTTATTACTCTTTCAATTTATTATCATTATTATTATTTACTTTTTACACTAGGGAGACAATACCTTACTTATAAATGTGAGTCTGATTTATTTCACTTATGAGGATTGTCTCTAGTTGCCTCCATTTATCTATAAAAGTCTCAAGATCATCCTTTCTTATAACTGAGTAATATTCCAGTGTATAAAAATACCACATCTTTTTCATCCATTCTGTGGTTGATGTGCATTTTGGCTGTTTCCAAGATTTAGCTGTTACAAATTGTGCTGCTATAAACCTGGGTGCACATATATCACTGTGACGTGACCTTTTCAGTTTTTCTGGGAAAATACCCAGGAGGGGAGTAGCTGGATAGAATAGGGCTTCCAATCCTAGTTTGCTTACTTATTTTTAAAAAGCAGCTCTAAAACAGCCTTGGGTTAATACTTCAGGAAAAAAAACCCTATTGTTATCACAGGAAATGACAGCTCCTGTGTGACATTACTCTGAAGACCTTCAAGAGGGACCAGGTATGAAGGTGGAAGACCGTGCCACCAGTGATACCAACACTATGTAGTCCTAGGCTAAGGAGTGCATTTGTATCTTAGTTTTTAACAAAAAGATAAAAACATAAATTTTTTTTTAAAAAATTTAAATAAGCTGTAGCTGTACCACACAGTTCCGGTGTGGAGTGGGCTGTACCAAGTTCTTATCAGTGTGCCCTGTGATTTCACACAAGGAAACCTGACTTTGTCCGCTAAGGCTAAAAGGATCACATTCCATGTACGTGACAATCATATGTCCTTCAACTACCTATTTCCAAGCCTTGCACCCTCTCCCACTTTCAGGGTACTGGAAGCTTCCTTCCTGGGAGTCTTGTAGCTCTCTTGAACTTCTGGGCCTGACATGTGGAGGAGTAGTCAGGACCAAGCCAGCATGTGTTGTGTATTTGTGCTTTTGATGTCCCTCTCCATTTATTACCCATAGCTTAATGCCCAGGACAGGCCCCAAGGAAGAACGGGAATCTGAACCTGGGGGACACGTTACCTTGTGGGATCTTGTAGATGACTTCTCCAGGCTTTCTGAGCTGGCGCAGGGCATAGTCGCTATGAATGTTGATTCCCATTCCCAAAATAAATAGGAAGATACCTTGGCACAGGAGAGAGAGGATAAATTTTTTTTAAAAAATGAAAAATGTGTTCCAATTTTACTGATTTTTATACATTAAATTTTGCTCTGTGCTTGGTTTTTTTTTTTTTTTCTCCATAAACGAAGGGAGGAACATTTAATTTCTAAATCCAGGAATGGTACTAAGAGAGGGTTCCAGATTCAGGTGGACAAGGTGTTGTACTTTTTGCAAAACTAAAATGCTGGTGTGCTTATTCAGTGACAGATGACAGAGACAGGAGGGAGAAGGGAGGGGAGCAGGAGGCAGAAACATTGTTTGATATTTTAAAAACTAAGCAAACAGATGAATGAGTAACACTGGCAGATAATCAAACTTCTCAGCCAACTCAACAGTGAATTTCATCCTATTTTCCCTCTGCCACACCTCATTACAAAGGCTGAACAGGTGAAAGGTGACCATATGATCTGATTCAGCCTATAAAATGTAAGGGAGAATCTTCAGGGTTTTCCTCAAAAATCTCTCAATTTTCCAGTAAAGGCCAGTGTGGCCAATGCCTCTGTTCCCTCATCTATCCTGCCTTAATTGCTAATGTAATGCCTGGAGCTGCAGCAGAGTCCTGTAATCAAGTGATGAATGTGAAAAGCACAGGTAAACATCCTAGGAACAGCGGAGCATTAAGACAGAAAAGACAGGATTCTTAATGGTATTAGTAAGAAGCTTATGGACACTTCTTGTTAGGTAAGACATACAGATTCTGAGTTAGGTTGTCACTAATTGGTTTTCTGTGACTCATGGCTGAGAGCATTTCTGATTCATTTTTGCCACTTTCATGACAGTAAAGTGAACTAGACTGAAGGGCCTGGCAACTAGAAAACTGATTTCCACCTCTGTAGTCCACACACACGCACACACACACACACACACACACACCATTTTATAAAACAAGGCATACATGCTACACATACTATTCATGACTTCATTCAACCATTTAACCACATACCCTGAAGGTATCCTGGTATGTATCAGTCACTGGTACAGAAAGGGCCCTGGTCTTAGGCAAGAAATTCTAGATTCAGGCATGTTGGTCCTGCACCCCAGTGGGGTGCTTGCACTGTCTCACACAGAGGCCCAGCCTTACTTCTCCATAAAATGTATTTGTCCTGCTCAGACAGAAAGCAAGAAAAATTTAAGTAAAACAATCAGATCTACTCTCATTTTATTTGATATATGATTTCTCAGTTTGTCTACTCAAATCATCATTGCTGTGGGAGAAATAGGTCCTGGGATGGGGGACAGTGGGGAGGAAGGTGCAGCATAGACAGCAGTAGAGAAAGGCGGGGACCTGGGACCCGCTGCCTATGTGTCCTTGAGCAAAGTCACTGCAGCTAACAGCCTCAATTTTCTCATCTGTAAAATGTAGCTTCTAACAGCTTCTGTCTCTCAAGGTTGGAATGAGGGTCATCCGTGCGTTCATTCATTCTTCCACTTATGTAACTAACATTCACTAAGGGCTTCCATCATACAAACGGTATCCTAAGCTCTGAGGATACAAGAATGGAAGAAATAGTCAAGGTATCTGTTGTTAAGGAATCTACATTTTAGTAGAGGAATGCAGAAATGAATTAACGAATTCAAAAATCAAAGTAAAATTCTGCGTTGCAGAAAAACAAAATAGGGTAATGAGAGAGCAAAGGAGGGTACACACTGCCTCTAGTTTAGAGAATGCGGCTAAGGAAAGTACTTTGAAGATTTGGCATTTGTCCTTTGATTTGAATATGAGAATGCAAAAATCTGAGATACAGGGACTACTAGGTAAGAAGGCCCAGTGTCTCTGAAGCGTGAAGACAGGATGACAGAGGACAGAATGATAAGTAAAAAGTCATGCCAAACACCAACCCAGGCTGCAGTGGCAGGCAGAAACACCAAAACAGCACCCAGGATTTGGAGGCTGATTTATTTGCATTGATGGGCACTGACGGGGATCATTTCCAGAGTATCAGGCCCTGATCTCTGGTGGTCTAGGGCTTATGTAGGATAAGCAAGCAGGAAGTGCAGATGCAGAATAGACTGTCAGTTGGGGATTGGCTTATAGGCGTGCATCATAGTGACCAGCTATGCGTCACAGTGAGCAGCCATTTCTAAGAGACAGGAGCAACCCGAACTGGAACAGGAACTGTTACCTGGGCAACCAAGAAACTGAAAGATACTGACTGGGGGGCCATTTTCCATTACAAGACCACTATCTCTGGCAGGGGTGAGGGTGAGAAAGGATCAGACTGTTGTCGCTCAGAATGTTCCCTTTCCTAGACATGACTGGCCTATGTCCTCACATTTCTGTATTTGGCTCTATTGCTGTATTTCCTGTGCAGTTGCATAACATTATCATTTTAAGTGAGGTACATTTGTGTGCTGTCAATTTTGGGTAACTTCTCTTCAATGTAAGTTTGTTTTTTAAATCAAGTGTCATCATGCAAAGGGCAAAACTATAAGGAAAGAAAAGCCCTGCCTTTTTCTTTTCTGCCCCATTCCACCCACTCCAAATTCTTTACTCCAACATGTATAATGTCTAGGGAAACTTTCATAATTCTAACATTTACTTTCACACACACACACTTTCCCTTCTATCCCATTTTCACATAAAAAAGTATACTATATAGACTGTTCTACGCAATTCACCTCTCTCTGTCTCTCTGTATGTCTCTGTGTCTCTGTCTCTCTCTCTGTTACATATCCCAAAGGTGTCTCCAGCTGAGCACAGAGTCTTTCCTGTTCTGTTTTGTTATTGCTATTGTTTGTTTTGTTTGTGTGTTTGTCTTTGTGGACACAGAATATTCTGTCATGCCTAGGTAAGCACTCATGCAATGAATTCTCTGGTCATTCATATCTGAATATCCACTGGCTCCTGCATGCCTAGGTTGTTAAAGGACAGGATGGAGTAGGAAATTCAGCTTGAAAGTTATTGTGAAACTTCAAGCAGTAGGCCAGGGTGGCTTTGAGTAGGATGACATTAAGTAGTCATGTAAGAGTCCAGTTGGCACATGGTCTGGAGTTAGGCCACGGGCATTATACTGATGGACAGTGTGGAATGTGTGATACTAATAGGGATTAAGAATAATCTCGGAGCCAAAATACTGTACAAAGGACTAAATCCTCTTGGACTATAACTCCTCTTATCAAAAAATGGGGGGGGAAGAATTGAAGATCTTTGTCTTCAATTATTTTAGATAAGGTGGTCAGGAACAGTCTCTGAAAAGGTGGAAATTGAGGAAGAAAAACAATGATTTTCAACACAGCAAGACACCACGGGGACTAGAAAACGAAATGAAGTAGATGGAGATAGAAAGCGGGTCGTGAAGCTGGAAAGGCCAAGAACATCTGAACAATCTCTGCGGCTATGGTACAGAAAACGACCTAGGCAGGGAGTGAGAGGATAACGGGGTCACCAGGAGGTTAAGACGGGGAGAGGCAATGACGATTTACACTCAAAGAAGCGATGTTAGCTGGCAAGTGAGTGGGGAATGGCCAGGTTCACTTACCCAAGCTAAACCGAACATCTGTGTACCACTCTTGCAGGTACTCTGCACAGTAAATGAGATAGTAGCTTTGAAGGAGTCCATTGCCAATGCAGAAGACTATTCCTCGGAGAAGGAAGGAGGCTGGATAGGGCGTTCCTCTAGTGAGAAGTGAGTAAATAAAAGTCCTGGGGTATAAGGAGGTGGAGGAGGAAGAGGTTAGTATTCATTGTCAAACAAAGAAAAGCAGAAAATATAAATCAAACAATAAGAAGGAGATGTTCAAACAGAAAACTATATTAAGCTATGGTTAGTTTTTCCGGAAATCTGTTCAATTAGAGAACATTACTATCTGGTTCTAGAGCAATCATTTACGCTATTTTTTTTTCTAGTTTTATAAAAATCCATAATAGCTACTATTTAGTGTCTTATTATTTTTTTCACAATAGCCATCCAATAAATTAAATATGCTTCCCATAATTCTAGAAATAGAACACAGCAGAATGGCTCTTTGAGAGCAGTTTCTTGACTATATGCCATTCTATAATGTTTTTCTAACATGGTTGCTTACTGATACTATAGAAAGTAGACTGCAGGAAACCTTGAGAAAAGAGCTACTTAGTCATACAGGGAGTTTAGAAATCTATGTGAATAGCATAATGGATAACTATCAAATAAACACCCAAACAGCTAGTAGCTAAAAAGCAGAACATGCCAGATGTGGTGGTGTGTGCCTGTAATCTCTGCACTTGGGAGGCTGAGGCAGGAGCATCACTGCAAGTTTGAGGACAACCTGGGCTACATAGTGAGTTTAAGGCTAGCCTGGACTACATAGCAAGACCCTATCTCAAAAAAAGCAAAATATTCAAAACAAACAAACATAGAAGTGGAACATACCATCACTCTGGGACACCTGTGTGCCCTCCCTGTCCACAGAACCAGCTATATGAGATAACAACTCATGTTATCTCATGATAACAACCCCAGAGATAACAACTATATGTTTTTGTTTTTTTGTCTTTTTGAGACAGGATCTCGCTATGCAGTTCAGGCTGGCCTTGAGCTCACTTTGTAGCCCAGACTGGACTCGAACTTGCAACGATCCTCCTGCATCAGCCTCCTGAGTGCTGGGATTAGAGGCACGAGCCACCACGCCCGGCTAACTATATGTATTTTTATAATAAATATTTTCTTTCATTTTTTTTACAACTATACCATAATTGTACGCATCCTTAAAAATACAGTTTATTTTAACTCCTAAGTAAACAGAGGTAGTTTGATCTTGGGACAGAGTCAAAAGCCAAGAGCTAACCATGCTCACTGGGAACCACTAAAAAGTATATAGTAACTAAAGACATCTACATACTAGCAACAAAGCTTGCCACTATGATCAGCTCACAAGCTTCAATGCAAAAACACAAATAAGGAGCCAGGACTTAGCCCAGTGGCATGAGTGCTTGCCTAGCAAGCACAAGGTCGTGAGTTCAATACCCGGTACCAAAACACACATACACACACAAATAAAAATTAGACACATAAGAAAAGCCAACAGAATGCACCCCAAAACTCCCAAGTCCCCCAAAGTTGATCCATGTAGCCTCTGATGTGATGAAACCAAAAAACACATAGCCATATTATTCTAAAGTGTTAAAAGAAAGATAATAAAACAGATGAATGAGGTGTTCCCCAAGCCCACAGAAAGTACAGGTAAACAGATAACAGGCCAAACAAAAGGATCAGAATCTATAGGACTAAGTGATTAAAAACCTGGTCAAACCAAACAAAATGATTCAAAACACGAATAATCAGCATAGAAAGGAATTAGAGTCCACAAGAGGATTCCAAATAAAAAATCAGAAGATTAAAAATTCAGTCAAAAATGGACATCAGAAGTAACCAATGTGGAGACAATCACATAACTCAGACAGGGAAATAGTCAATGGAGAGAAAGATACTTTTAAAATAAAAGAGAACATTACAGGTGGACCCAACAGTTTCCAGACGAGACAAATGACACTAATCTAAGATGAATTGGAATTGGTCAAAAATCAGAAGATAGCACAAATGCCATAACAACTTACTTACTGAAATAATAGCAGAAAACGTTCCAAATGAGGGAAAAGAATTAAACATACAGACAAGTGAGGGGTATAGAATGCCAAACAGCCACAGTCAGAGAAGAATCTCCTACAATACATCATACTCAAAATTTCAGAAGTCCAACACCAGAACAGAATCTTAAAAGCAGCTAGAGAAAAACAACAAATCACTTATAAAGGTAAAACCATTAGGATCAGGACACACTTCTCAACAGAAACAAAGTCCAGTAGAGTTTGGAGTAAAGTGTTTCAAGCCCTAAAACAAACAAACAAACAGTTTCCAATCTGGGCTAACATATCCTACAAAAACATCTTTCAAATTTACTGGAGAAATCAGATATCTTCAAGATAATGAACACCTAAAGAAATTCATAATCACCAATCAGAACTCCAAAAAAAGTCTCAAGGATATACTAAAAAGAGAAAAGGAATCTAGTGATGACAAAGACCTAATAGAATAAATGCACTAGATAAGGTGAACAGTTAAGAGGAAGGAGAGAGGAAATAAGCAACAAGAAAATAAGGCAGGGACAGAAATGTCAAACCTGTCAGTAAGAACACAGTGTGAATGTCCCAGTACCTGCATCAGAACACACAGATCGGCAAAATGGATCAAGACACAAATTCCAGTGGAATGCTGAACACATGAAACACATTTAATCCAAATTCATAGACTCAGAATAAAAGAATGAGAAAATATTCCATGAAAATGGTAACATGAAAAATAGCAGGTATAGCTACCCTATGTTCAGACAGACAAAGTGGCCTTCAAGCCAAAAATGATCAAAAGAGGCAAAGAGTAAAGATACTGGTTAAGGGAACAATCCAACAGGAAAAAAATAACAATTATTAACATGTTATACACTGAACAACAGCACACTGAACTCCATAAAACAAGTATAACTGAACATATAAGATTAGATAAACAGCAACATAATTATAGTAGAGGACCTCAATAACCTCACTGTCACAAATAGGCAAATCAACTAGTCAAAAATCAACAATAAATATCAGTTGAACCACACTTCTTGACAAATGGATTTAATAGATATATACAGAATATTCCACCCAACAACAGACATATTCTTCTCAGTAGTACATGAAATTTTCTCCAAAATAGAGCACATGCTAACTAATAAAGCAAGTTTAAGTATGTGCAAAATCATTAAAATTATATTATGCATACCAGATCATAGTTCAATGAAACCAGAAATCAATGACAAAAAGAAAATACATAAAGTACGCAAACTCATGGAAATAAACACTCTTAAAATAATCAATGAAGAGCCGGGCATGGTGGCTTATGCCTGTAATCCTAGCACTCGGGAGGCTGAGGCAGGAGGATCATTGGGAGTTCGAGACTAGTCTGATCTCACTGAACAAAGTGAGTTCAAGGCCAGCCTGAAATGCATAGCGAGACCCTGTCTCAAAAAGACCAAAAAAAAAAAATCACTGAATCAGAAAAAGTCAAGAAATAAGACAATTTCTAGAACTAAGCTATAATGTTAGTACAACATACCAGAACTTATGGTACACAATGAAAGCAATTTGAAGAGCCAAGTTCATAGCTGAGAATGCTCACAAAATTATCACAAAAACAGAATGAACCCAAATAAATAACCTAATTCTATACCTCAAGATTCTAGAAAACAAAGACAATCCAAATCCAAAGCTAATACAATGAAGGAGATTACAAAGATCAGTACAGAAATCAATGAAATTGAGGCAAAAAAAAATACAAGGAATCAATGATTTGAAGAGTTGATTCTTTAAAAAAATGACCAGAGTAGACGATCAAATAGATGAGCAAAATAAGCCAATCTAGCCAAAAAAGAGATAAAAGACCCAAAACAATTCAATTAGAATTGAAAAAGGTGAAATCATAACAGACACTACCAGAATCAATTATATCATTAAGAAATATTTTGCAAATCTGTACACCAATGAATTGGAGAATTCAAAAGAAACTGGTAGATTCCTAGAGACATACAAATTATCAAAATTGAATCAAGAAGACATTAAAAACTGAATAATAACAGGCAATGAAATTGAAGCGGTAATAAAAATATTAAGCAAAGTCAGGTCTGGATGGATTCACTGCTGAATTCTACAAAAACCTCAGAATATCTGACACCTATATTCCTCATATTTCATGAAATTGAAAGAAAAGACGTACTCCTAAATTTATTCCTGGAAGCTAGCATTACTATGATTTCAAAACCACACAAGGATTCAACAACAAGAACAAAAGAACTATTGGTCAGTCTCTTTTATGAACATACATGAGAAGATCCTCAATGCAATACTGCAAATAAAATGCAATGAATCATCAGAAAAATTGTACCTGATGAGCAAGTAGGCTTAATTCCACAAAGACTGTTCCACTTACACAAATCAACAAATGTAATATGTCACATAATTGGAAGCAGAGACAAAATCACATGATCATCTCTAGAAACAGAAAACACCTTTGACAAAATCTAATCCCTTTCATTAAAAAAATCCTATATGGCATAGGTATAGTAGGACCTTATCTCAACCTGATAAAAACACTATGACAAAGCTACTTCCCACATTAGATTAAATGGGGAAAACAAAGCTTTTGCTCTAAGATCAGGAAAAGATAAGGATGTCCACTAACACCACACCTGTTCAACATAGTACTCATAAAACAAGATCAAGTAGACAAAAATAAAACAAGAAAGAAAGAAAGATAGGGATATGCAAGGAAAAAGTCAAACTATTATTATTTTTGCAGTTGATATGATGCCTAAATAGAGGGACCCCAAAATCCACCAAACATTTAAAATTAACCAAATTCATCAACATAACAGGACATAAAAATCAACACACAGATCAATAGCATTCCTATGCACCAATAACGAGCCCACTGAAAAAGACATTAATAAATGAAGTACTGTTCACTGTAGCACCAAGAAAAATTAAATACTTAGGAATTAAGCTAAGGAATTTTTTTAAACCTACAATAAAATACAGTGTTTTGAAGAAGAAGATCAAAGAGAACATCAGAGAGTGGAAAGATATCTTCTGCTTCTGGATAGCCAGAATGAATTCAGTCAAAATGGCCC